CGCCTACTGAAAGATATTGTAATTGCAGGTTGAGCTACATAGCTCTAGCTGCAGACAACATTCTGTCGAGTCATTGGGCGAATGAATCCTTTCACCTGCGACACATGTAAATCATCACATCAGGCATTCAATACGGATGAATTGCTTCACGTGTGCTCAAGACGTGCTTGTCGCGTTTATGCTGGAGCCAGGGAGGGTCCCAGGACTTGGGCCCGTGGCGTTCGCATTTCCCTTTTTTCCTGAGCTGTGCCTAAACATTCCGCATGATTCGCTTTTTGCAGTGTTCAATGATTGACATACTTTTTATTTGCCATATCCGAAAGGAGTTCTCCCTTTTTTATGCGAGCCTCGAAATTATATGAGATTATGGGACCCGCATCCCAGCAGCTGATGCCAAGCTGAGATAAGGGAAGCAGAGTGAGTGAGAGGTCCTGGCTTGGCATTTATGTAACGCGCTCATATCCTTTTATTGTATTAGACTATTGTTGCAATGCGTACAGCTCGGGCCCCCAGCCCTTCCCTCAGCTGCATTGGCTGTCACATGGAACTACCCCCGCGGCGCACAGAGGGTTGCTCTGCGGCTGTGGCCTGTGCTGGCATTTATATGGTTTGTTAGATTTCGGGCTGCGATTTAGCCGGTTCATTAGGCAACTGCATAGACAACTTTTTGCCACGCATAAATAATACATCAAAGTAGAAGCAACAGCAGCAGCAGCAGCGAAAGGCTGCTCCCACAATGTGAACTGAAATGAAATACTCACCATCTTCGAGGGTACGGGCAAGGCGCGAATTCGACGGCTTGCCCTCGACTGACTTGTAAAATGGCACCATGAAAAATTCATAGAGCGTATACTGCACGAGTCCCGTCATCGTACAGGACGAGGCGCCGCCGCCATTCAATATGGTGAGCATGCGATATTTGGTGCTGTACGCGCTTTGGAGTTGGCTCTGCGTCTGTGCCTCCTGGCCATCCATGGCATCACGTTTGCCGGCAGCGGCAATATTTGGTTTTGTCGAAATCAAAGCCGACGCTGAGGCCGACACCGATGCGGAGGTGGAGGCCAGCAAGGGATTGGTATTGGCCGTGAGCATGTTTGCCATTGGATTCGGTAGCTGGCGCGCATAGATGTAGAAGCCCTCGACGTATTTGCCATTGATGATCTGCATAAGCAAACAAAATTTATTAGCTGGAGTGGCTAGGCGCGGGTTTAGGCTCTCGACTCTTACCTGCCAAGTGAGTTTCATGCTGGTAGAGTCCACAACGCTCGCATTGGTCAACTCGACCACATCGCCGGACAGTAGGCTGGCGCGTGCCTCGCTCAGATCCAAGCCGCTGTTGAAATACCGCTGCAATTCGAATCGAAATTAAAGTTAAGCGAGAGCCCTGAGTCAATTCCCGAATCCCTTCTCTACTCACCGTGCCCACAGCGATGGGTTCCGACATGGGACTAGGCAGCGATATACCGTGCGAGTTCTCCGCGCGTATCAGGAAGAAGTAGTTCACGCCCGCCACGAGGCCCAGTTGGGTGTACGTCGTATTCTGTATGCGGGTGCCCACGGCCACCCAGCCATCGGTCTCGTTCTTGCCGAACATCTCGACGACGTAGCCCACCAGGCTGGAGGCGCCCACCTTGTTGCTGCGCGTCCAGCTGAGGGTCACCGAATCGTCGGTCTTCTCCACCAGCTGGGGCTTGCCGGGCGGACCCGGGTAGGTGGACAGCTCGGGGGCGCGATAGAACTTGATGTTCGGATTGGTGGGCGTGTCCAGGCGCAGGTAGCCGCTCCACGATGACTTGCCGTTGCGATTGGTGGCCACGCAGGTGTACAGGCCCTCGTCCTCGTGGCGCTGCAGGTCCGAGATTGTCAATGTGCCGGACTCGGACAGATTGCGTCGCTCGTGCTCCTGCACATCGATGGGTATGCCGTCCAGGTACCAGGAAATCTGTGGAGCCGGTGTGCCCAGCGTGCGGCAGGGCAGCACCACAATCGATTTGACGGGCAGCGTCTGATTCACCGGACCCTGCTCAATGATGGGCGGCGGCAGCTCGAACTGCGTGTCCACCGTGACAACGGTGCGGCTGCTCACACTACCGACGGCATTCAGGGCATTGCAGACGACCACCTTGCCGGAGTCCTCGCGGGCAAAGCGCGCTATCGAGAGCACCGAGCGACCCTCGGGCGTTAGGCTGACCTCCAGTCGACCGTCCCGGTAGCCGGGCAGCAGCAGTGAGCTGTTGCCCTCGACGGACCAGTACAGTGTGGGACGAGGATGACCGCTCGCCTGGCACTCGAACAGCACTTCATCGCCGATCTCGACCAGCTGGTTCTTGGGCCGTGTAATGAACTTGGGCGGAGCTGTGGAAGTGAGCAAAGCAAACACCGGGTTGTTAGTAGATGAAGCCTTGGGGAGGGAGGGAGGAAGGGTACCACGCTTCTGGCTTCTGGGGCAATTAACTTACCGTGCACGGTGAGTATGCCCGTGGCTGTAATTGAGCCGACCGCATTGTCCGCCTCGCAGCTGTATTCGCCCATGTCCTCGAGCGTGACGTCGTCCAGCTTCAGACTGCGGTCCTCAAGTATGTGCACACGGCCTGCAATGGGGAGAGAGAGAGCGAGAGAGAGAGTGGGGTAAGTAACATGTGAGAGGAAGTCCAAAACGAGCAGCTAACTCGAACGTCTTCTTCTACTTCGTTAGTAGTTCAAGTAGCGTAAAAATG